CCTTTTAGATTGAAGTCCCTCTTTCCTGATAGTAATTTTGGTGTCCCCTATATCTCAGTCTCATTAGCTCCTTATCTTTTCACAAGTATAGTAGACCACATCTTTTACTACACTTACTGGCTTTTACCTCTCCAGGATTCCCAAAAGCAACAAAGAAAACGAAGAATGAAAGAAAGAGTCTGTAACACTTGCATTCCTGACTCTAGAAATGTCTTAGTCACATCCATAAATCCCGCAGTCCATCTGGTGCAAGGGGATCCCTTGTTACCATGCCAGTATCTGATCCTCTGCTTATTCCTGAACTTCCTCTGGCCCTGATGTCTTTGTGGTCTACGGCTGCCTTGCTCAAACTAGCAAACTTAGACGACCCAAGAAGAGAGGGCAGCTCTGCCAGGGGCATGGATGCGACTGTCACAACGTGTCTTCTCAGCTCACATTGCCATATCACTAGTAGGGGAAGAGATGGTGGTGTTTGTCTGTCTAGGTTAGACACAGATGGTGTGTGCTAGTATTTGGTCCCTTTGCTCTTGTCTGGAAGCAAATACTGTGTTCTGTTTGTGATGCTGAACAGGAGGACTTGTTCTGGGAGCAGTAGGAGGATGGAGGCAGAGGGGGAAAACTGGGAGAAGAACACTGAATTAGAACTTGTCACACCTCTCTCCCTGCTGCTGCCCATGTGCTTTTGGTACTTCTCCATTGAGACCTATCATTGCTCTTTACAGCAAGTGGGCAGTTGCTGTGGAACAGCATAATGTTGTAGTCTGAGACTAATGTTTTTCCTCAGGAAATTCTTGTTGCTCATTGCTGAGCAGTAGAGATTTAAACCACAAAATAACATTTGTCTGGAGATCTGGTTCAGAAGTGCATGTTGCATTTAGGAATTATTTTTCTATCTATTACTAAAACTGAAGGTTTGTGCTGCCTCTGCAAATCTAATTTGAATTGGTGTAAAGCAGGTTAGCTAGACAGGAAATATTGGGCACTTGCAGTCCTGCTATCTGACATAGGTAGATTACACCCACAAAACCTTCTCAGAGGAAACTGCAATGTAATTTAATAACATGTATGCTAATGAAATACTAGGCATTGGTAGCAGCTTTTCAGTTACTTGCAATTCTGTGTTCTTTTTTCTGTATAGTTAGAAAGTCACTCAAATAATGAAAAAAACCCTTAAATTGCAGTGTGTTTTGTAAAGCAAACCACTGAAAAGTTGAACTACTTGCTTTTTTGCCCTTTTACTTTTCCAGGGCCCCACTCTCCCAGATGAACTCTTCTCTCCTTTTCCCATCTCTGAAATGCCAGCCATTCGTGCCCACAACTCTCAACCTTCTCTCACTTAACCTTGAGCCATAATTACTGTATGAGGCACTGAAAGGAAGCTAGTTTGAGGAAGGAATATATACAGAGGAGTGAAAGTGGTGCGTGAACTGAAGCAGTAGACAGCACCATGCGTGTGAATGGAAGAGCAGAGGGTAAAGGTTTTATGTAGCTATCTGGACTGCTCCACAGTGATAGCTTGTGGGTATTAGTTTCCTATGACATTTTGTGTTTAGAGGGTGGGGCTAAGTATGTGAGGGGAAGGTCATGAACTAGTATAAAGTATTTTGTCCTTCAGCATGTGGTGGTTTGGGTGGATTCACCCTTT